TATTTAGTGTCCAGGGCAGAATGCCTGAATCGCAAATATGTTCCGTTTGCATAATGGAATAATTCGAAAACCCAACTGACCAGACAGGAAGCAAGCACCTCAAATCTCAAAACCCTGGCGGCAACATCTGAGAAAGTGCTTCCTTAATGTCTACCAGGATGTAGACCGTGGTGCTGTTGAAACAGCCATATTGTTTTAAGCTGCTATCACATCCTGGTCCCAGTGGAATCCTTATCTCTGTGTGGCCTTAAGACCAAACACAATAGAATCCGATTCCACTTGAACTGGAACACGTCTTAAATGTATAGAAACTTTCTGGAGAACATACAAAACCCACACTTCTCAGAGACATTTGCAGTGTAGTGTAGATTCAACAATACAAAAGCTGAAAATTCTCAGACTCTTCCTGGTTGTTGAATGTTTTCTCAACGAACCATGTCCATATTGGAAAATCCGCTCACATCACTCCCTCAATAACGTTCAGAGTCTTCACTGAAGCATCAAATTAATTGTGATATAAAAGTTGCATGTCCACAAACCTATCTCCCTTCTTCATAACACCAACTTCAAAATACCATTTAAAGAAGCATTTGGTCTACTGAAGAACTGTTTTGGGTTTTGGAGATAAATTTACGTCTGTGAGTGAGAAAATTAGTTTTACACCGCATTCACCAGTATTTGAACTACATGGTGGCAGTCTGTAAATAACCGAGTCTGGACCAGACAATCCAATGATCAACAGCATGAGCACTGGTCTACACAAATGGGATACGATGACATGTCAACCAAGTCAACGAGCCTGATCATCCGATCCTGTTAGTTGCCTCTTACGACAAACATGGGTTACTGAAGAACTCTGCAATGGAGAAATCTTGAGAATCTGTTCATTGTATTCGAGACTCAACAGAATTAGCTATTTCTCAACTTAACCATGCTACTGTTTGTATAGCATTTCTCTGTAATTCTACATAATGACCTATCCAATCAGTATTAAGTGTTAAAATAAACGTACAATATGAAGGATGAATTAATTTCTGTGAATCAAAAGGAACAACGAACCCTGATGTTACATCATAATGGATTAAAAATGCATATTAATTGATTACAACTGTATATACATTCAAACATCTCTGATTAGAGCTGGGTACAAGGTATTATATTATTATTATTATTGTTGTTGTTTTCATTATTATTATCATTAATGAAACACCCGTAAAGATCTGGGTTAGAATTGGTCTTGAACAACCCATGCTTGTCGTAAGAGTCGACTAACGAGATCAAATGCTCATGTTCTTGATCACTGGATTGTCTGGTCCAGTCTCGATTATTTACAGACCACTGACATACAGCTGGAATATTGCTGAGTGTGGCATTAAACAACAAATGTTAAAACAACAACTTCCCTTTAATCTCAATATTCTCAAGAATGTTCTTATGTCCTGCATAAAGATTAAATTAATCACAATATTCTCAATAATATTCTTATGATCTTATGTCCTTCATAAAGATCTTATTAAATTTTAAACGAAAATTTAACAAATCAGAAAAAAGATAACTTGATGGTAGCGTTGATACCAAATAAACAAGCAGAGGCATATACTTGACCACGATTCCACAAGACTACATTGTCTTAAACCATGTATTTGAGTCAACAGCGTTTCACTTAACGAAGTGCAGCTGTACTTGATAGATACACTTCATCTATGAGGTTGCTGTTTTTACAAAACCATTATCAGAAGAGAACTACGAACAAGGTATGTGGTAACCTTTTCATCATCTCTACTAAAGATAGCATTTATGTCATGTCCTGAGGTTTTTCACAAAGTTTCAGAAAATTTTCCAAATAAAAATATCAGCTTGAAGGCAAACTTTATGGATAAGCATTGATCCTTTAACCTCAACAGAATTATAGTTTTATGTGTTTGTACCAAGAAAACAGAAAGATAATCTTTTTATTGGCTTTAAATTCTTTCAACAACTAAAAAAACATTAAATTTAAGATAATAGTTGAAATAATAGTTTGAACCAGAAAAAGATAAACTATGACCTATGATTTCAAGTGTAAAAAAGCCAAATACAATTTTATCAAGAAGAGTGTAAATCAAATGTCTTATCTTCTCATTGTTGATGACTGCTCCACATACTGCTTCTTTATTCAAGATGTATTTCATATTTTGCCTAGACTCAAGCTGACATATAAGCTTTGGAGATTCAGTTTCAATTCATTTGAAAAGAATAGGTTTAAAACGGAACCGAATACAATAACATAACTCCTCAAGAGTTTTCAAAAGCCTTTCATACTAACTTCAATGCCGATGCTGTATTATTTATGCCACTTTCAAGCCCATAAAGAGGCCTATTCACCATATAAATAATCATTCCTAAAACGAATCCTGCAATATAATATATATAAAACAGAATTACTGGCCACATGATATTCCTTATGTTGAGCTGGGGCTGGCCCATAAAAACAGATTACTGCTCCATGGTATCAGATGAATTCAGAGCAAGGTCACAAAAAATTACTACCAAAATGTCCTGACAATCGCTGAGAATGGTGTATATATGGAATCTGGGAATTCAATGCAGCGTTTGGGACAACTCTCATAAATAATATCCCTTTTTCCTGTAGCTGAGTGGTCCTCGGTGATATTGTTGGTACGTAGCATGATTTAACACTAATGGACTACGATTGTACATCTCAAATGGCCATGTTTGTCTACAGTGCATCTCTGTCATTGAGTTAGATGCTCGAAAACTCGGAAAATAGAATTGTTGGTATTGTGTGCTCTCTGCCAATGACGAGGAACTTCATGAGGAATAATCAGGCCTCTCAAAGCACCAAGCACACAAACCAATATCAAGAGTATTGTTATGGAAGCAATTGAGGAAATTTGTCGTCTGCCATGGCAGACATTTTTCAAAATATTAGTATAGGTTTTTGGGTTGGTAAGTTCTGAAACAAGTGCTACTCCATAGATCATTTCTGGGATTTCCCAGAATACTCTGACATTTTTCATAAGGTAATATTTGACAGACAGTGTCTTCATCTCGTCTTCATCATTTCTTGTCAGAGTCTTCAAAGGGGATTTTATCAGAGCCAGACACGAACAGGAAGTTAATTGGCCATATCATTTCCAAACCAACTGTGTCTTCTCATCATCAATGGTACGGCCAAGAACGCCTTGGATTTCAACACACTGGATGGTTGAATCAGGACTTGCGATTCAATTTCCAGCATTTTTAGAAAAACCCATCAAATTCCTCTGTCCCAGTTTCAGGTTTCTGAACACTCTATCTTTGTCATAGATAAATAGTCTTCTGAATATTGAAGAAAAGATCACTATCATGCAGCAATATGTTTTTGTAGAAAACTGAAATATCTCAGAAAGTATATATTCTATTTCAAGAAATAATAACACAGGAAGTTTTAAATGATAACTGAATAGATCACATATTCTTAGACATATCGAAGAATTATCAGTGATTATTTCTCCGTCTTGAAAGGACTGACTCACAAATATTAATAATATATGTTGCGTGTGGGAGATAAATCATTTTAAATGGCTTTCGCAGCAATTTAATACTGAGACAGATTTGCTTCATCCATTTTACCCATTTTTTTAATCAAACCAAGTTATCAGAGGGATAGGCAAATCCTTAAATCACTTCACCAGTCTGCCCAAATTCAGACTTCCCTTCCCTTCTGGCTAGCCCTTTCAGCACCCTAAATTAAGCAGGTCTAGATTTCTTTGATTGGCATTCTTAAAGTTGGGTAGACGAAGAACAAGGACTATTTTTATGGATAAACTTGTTTATTGTGTATCGGCGACGTTTCAACATAGATTGTAATGCTGGACAACGACATTAGAATCTATGTCGAAGCATTGCCTATACACAATAAAGAAGTTGTATATCCATAAAAATTGTCCTAAGTCTAGATTTCCTCAGGTTCTGAATCTCCTACCTCATCTTCTTTTCAATTTATATGGAATTATTTGTTTTCATCAAAATTATAAATATTTAGAGATTAAGCGTCAGTCTACCACTTCACCATTCGCTATGCATTTCAGACAAGGAACACTATCACTTTATGCACTGTGTCATACCAGATGAATATAACATAGAGAATACGGCAAACATACCTTGGATCATATGAATTAATGAGTGCATGTTATTTTATGCAGCAGTTGGCAATATTCCAGCTACAGTATATTCTAACCCTGATATTCACGGGTATCATGCCGAGAACCCGGGTTCGATTCCACACATGGGCACAATGTGTAAAGCCCATTTCTGGTGTCCCCCGCCGTGATATTGCTTGAATATTTCTAAAAGCGGCGTAAAACTAAACTCACTCACTCATTTAATGTTGTTGAACACCACCCACAGCAACACCCAAGCTATACAATATTAGCCTGTGAAAACAGGTGACAGGTTCAAATCAGTGATTGATATCATAAGCAAACCAATCCTTTAGTCTGACCAAGCATTCTTTCTAATTGCCATGTATGTCATTTATAGGTTACTGGGGATGATTTCAAACTCAGAATTGCAGCTACATGTTGACAGTGTGTAAATGAAAATGTTTGGGACTGGCAACTAGTGGTTGGCAAGATGAACAACTGTTCCTACCATTTGGGCGTGATCTGAACCTAGTCACACATCATGGTCATCCAATCTACAGTATCATGGGCATATAGGCAAGGTTTACAAAAGCGCTGGTATTGGCATACAACCTGCGATACGATACATCACGATACTAAAATTTTAGTAACAACGATATATTGCCAAAGTATTGTGCACTGAAGCTGCAAAACAATACGAATCCCAATTTAAGAATGGCGATATGATACGTATCACAATACTATAATCTTTAATTCTAACACCAACTATAAAACACCATAAGTTCAAAACAAAACCATTTTAAAGTATTGTGTCAAATTCAGCCAGCGTTTCTTCAATGCTTATTTGGAAATGAGATAATTAAGTTTATACACAGACTTTGTGAATGTTATTAACATTGGGAGCGCTATGCCTGACACAGTTTTCGACGCAAGGATTTCCGAGAAAACATTTACTTAAGAAGGGAAAATGAGTAAGCATATATTTTAATCATCAAACAAAAGTAAATCTTTTTTCTTGACAGATATTGTGATTCGACAATAGATAAAGTTAAACATCGATGTATCGTGGCCCATTTGAAGTATCGTATCGGGATATACAACAATGTAAAACTTTGTATTGATCCACTCTATCGGCAGCCCATGGATCCATGCATCGATGTGTATTTGTGAATCGTCACACCACTAGTTTACAATGGTGACACATTTTGGACATAATTCTTTCAAAGGTAAATTAACAGTTAAGTATAATTTTCACTTTTCCTGAAGATACTATATTCCACAAACCTTTGTCCATTTAGTGGTCAGATGTGATCAGTGACTTTTGAAAAGGTCCTCGTTCAGAGTAAGTATGGCTTTACGCTGCCTTTAACAATATTCCAGCAATATCATGGTGGGGGACACCAGAAATGGGCTTAATACATTGTACCTCTGTTGGGAATCGAACCCGGGTCTTCGGCATGACGAGCCAACGCTGTTACCACTAGGTTACCCCATCACCCCCCTCATTCAGAGGATAAAACAAGGACTGGTCAAGAATATGCACACAAACATGCTGCTTCATAAAAACAATAATCCTCTTTAACCCAGTTTGATATATCAACAGCTGCAGGGTAACTGATTACCATTAGCATGAGTTCAAACACTCGGAACAGCAAAATAAAGAGGTAATAAAGAAATTCATGGCCCTGAATTTACCTCAGCTTGTAAACTAAGAATCCATGGCAGGCAAAGTGGGTACAAAACTTTAAATTGCGAATTATTTTCAAATCCTAATTTCCTTAAATATAGCGGTATTTTCAATGCCATTATGTAAAGGCGATTTTCTCTTTATTGCCTTGCTATCAGCAAACACATGGCACCTTTTAAAGTGAAATCATTATTTATTATCAGAATAACCAAAATCTGCATATAGTTGCAATATGTATTTTTAAATATTTGCTGTAGTCCTGGCTGCTGTTCTATCTGTTGATTCCTTATTAACTTGTGTCAAAAAAGGGGCCATGGGGAAGTCTTGTGGTTAAGGCATTTGCTCGTCACGCTGACCCGGGTTCAATTCCCCATATGGGTACAATGTCTGAAGCCCATTTCTGGTAGGCCGTCCCCTTCTGTAATATTCCTGAAATATTGCTAAAAGTGGCGTAAAACTAAACTCACTCACTCAAATGTGTCAAAAGAAACTATTTCTTAATCTTCAAAAGCAATACATTTTCTAAATATTTTCAAAAATTAATGTTTATTGAACAATCTTTACAAAAGGAGAACAAAGATAAAAAATAGTAGAGTCTAATATTTGTAGATAAGAAAACAAAAGTATCTCTTTCAGTGATGTCCAAGTTAGATGGCTCTGAGGTCAAGAACATTTGACTTGAAGATCCCGTATTGAACTATAAATTAGAGGCCAATACCTAACTGGAGTCATTAAGACACCCAAATGACATACATCAATGATACCAATCCTGAAATACCTGACCAAGGAAGTAGTTTTGCTTCAAATTTATATACTGCCGACATTGAAAGTGCATGGTTGGTCATCGAACATATTGCTATTCCGACCAGTGTTTTAAGCGGTTCGGATGTAGTTTTGGAGATCTATAGGTGGTCAATTGAGCTAAGAATTGCAATTACGGGATTGACTCGTACTGATGAACTCTTAAGTTAAAATCAATTGTATTTTATCACCAGCGAACTGGTCTTCTCACATAACACCCTCGTACATTCATGTTAACTTCCTGCTGGTGCGTGGACTCCAGGAAGTTGAAGGTCACCTTTCCCTCTGTCTGCACTAAGGTTTATAGTTCCTCATTCCTTACAGGCTTCATGTGGAATGAATGGCATCAAGGCAATTTTCTCTGCTTACATTCACTTATATACTCCTCAATGTCTCATAAAAACATGGTAGGGTTCATGCAGGTAGCAAAAGTAATGTAAGTCCCCATGGTTCCTAGTATGGTGATCTACCTTCAGTTGTTGGCGATCTATAGCCAGTTTTTTATATTGTATTGTCTCAATAGTGCTATCAGTTTTAACTTTCCACACTAGTTTTAGTTGTAATCGTGATATTCTAGTTGTTTTACTGTCCTTCGTTGACATTTTTTTTGTAATGTACATGTCTTCCATTTCAATGTCACATATGTTCTCGTCACGATATGGCTGAAATATTGCCGATGTGACGTTAAATATTAACTCACTCACTCATAAAAACATGGTAGAATCATTCATAAAAACATGGTGGAATCATTACATATGTCATGCAGCTGCATTCTTCTACCCAAGTTTCTTGGTAAAGTCCTGCATGATTGACTTCTAACATTTCTTTATCATCCATTTTAGTCTTGAAAATTGTAATATTTGATAATATGTATGGTGGAAGGATTGGTAGTATTGTGGGCGCGGTGAGCGAGCTGGCTAATGAGCCAGGCTAGTGATCCAGCGAGGTTGAGGTGTCGTGATCGAGCCCACCTGTGAATGGGTGTAAAACCCTTGGAGTCAACTTTGTGTGCAGAATCTTTCAGTGTTGTCACAACACCTAGTGTTCAGTGCACAACCCTGTGCACTTAAAAAAGAACCCACGATTCCGTTGGTATATGACCAGATGGTGGCCACATGAATACGTGCAAACACCTAGTTGCGGGTACAGCAACGTGCAGTGAACTTGGACAAAGTACTGTGACTATGTGTCCCAGTCCACCAAATTGTGAATGGGTACCTCGTTAGGGTGAGAAAGCCACAATAACTCGGTGCGCCTAGTGGCTGCAAGAGTTGTATACTCCCCAGGGAGTTGAGATTGATAACACGATGTGCCGTTGAGATTGACATCCAATGATCGAGGGGAAAATACCAGCGCCTTGAGCATGCACTAGTTAGGTGGATATGTGCACTATATAAATATCCTATCATAATATAATATTGAGAAAGTGTCAAAACACACGAAACACTTACTTCATATACATATTTAGTTCCATTTTACATCTGTGATATGGTTCATTGTGAAGACACTGATATAGGATATAGCATGTGATATGATCACCTCGATGTTTGAGGATGTACTTTTGTAGCTAGTGTAATGATTTTCATACACTCTCGACATATTTATGTAAAGTAATGTCAGACTGGAGTGCTTCTGTATACTTCCATTCTGCTTTCATAAAAGACATGTGTTTTTAAAAAAAGGAAAAACTTTGCTGTACAATGTCAAGGTCAGTGAAATTGAGATTACAAGACAAGTGTCTGTCAGATACCATTTATCTTTGGCAGATAGATATAGAGATTATATATTTTCCATGGACTTTCTTGACCATAACCTACAGGTTCCATGGACATTAAATGACCATTAATTACAGGTTCCATGGATATTCTTGACCATCAACTACAGATTCCATGGACATTGTTGACCATCAATTACAGGTTCCATGGACATTGTTGACCATCACCTACAGATTCCATGGACATTGTTGACCATCACCTACAGATTCCATATACATTGTTGACCATCACCTACAGATTCCTTGGACATTGTTGACCATCACCTATAGATTCAATGGACATTGTTGACCATCACCTACAGATTCCATGGACATTGTTGATCATCACCTACAGATTCCATGGACATTGTTGATCATCACCTACAGATTCAATGGACACTGTTGATCATCACCTACATGTTCCATGGACATTGTTGATCATCACCTACAGATTCCTTGGACATTGTTGACCATCACCTACAGATTCCATGGACATTTGTGCTGATCACCTAAAGATTCCATGGACATTTGTGATCTTCAACATTACATTCAGTAGATATCCTTGGCCATCGTTTACAAATCTGTAAGCATCGTCAATGTTATTGACATGACCAACACCAAACACAATTTGATAATGAATGTTTAGTTTGTCTACTCACATTTCTTAGGGAGCTCTGGCTTCTTGTAAGGTATATCTGGAAAATAAAATAAAGATATTAGCACTTAATTACCAATTGACAAAATGCATCCGTTGCATTTGTAACAAAATTAACCATCAGAATTCAATGAGGCTCATGTTCACAGGATCAACTGACATTTTCACCATGACTACAAGAATGTTCCTGATCAATTCTGGTCAAAATCCATGGAATTTGTGGAAAAGATGGTCATATTATGTGGACATTCTTATTGATGACCACAAATTCCATCACTGTTTGTGGTAATTCACTGATCTTTTCCAATATGACTGATCATTCCAAGTCTGAAATACTCTCTGACCATTGCTTTATATATTTCTTTCCTACAGGCTGAGTAAATCTCTTGGGGTATATCCAATTTCCAAGTCTGCCAATACACCATGACCAAATGCATGGAACATCAACCGCTTTAGTTGTCATATCAACATGGAACCAGAGAGAATTTTGTCATTGAAAATCAGAACCTGTTCAGATGTGAATGCAGATTCACAAACTGTGAGCAGCATCCAGTGACATTAAGAAACTGTAACCAAGTTCAATGGTCATGTTTGATTATGACCACCAGATGTCATGGTCACTACTGGGTATGACATATAGATTCTGTGTCAACTGGAATTCATGGTCAGTCTTGATCCTGACTCCTCCTTGACAACCAGACTTCATGGATTGGCATGACAATTAGACTCCATTTAGATTCTATGGAGAATCATGATTACACAAGATTCCTTTCATGAACGTTCTTGGACATTAAAACTAGATTCTACGACTACATTTTGACAACCAATTAGATTTCATGAGGATTTTCAGCAATCATCACAACTTCAATGGACAATGTTTTACATGACAACAAGATATTCAACGAATACCACTTATCCTTCACACCATATGACATGGACAATTTCAGTCAGGACCAACACTTTTCATGGACAATCATAGTCATGACTTACAAATTCTATCCACCTTCACGTTTATGACCACCAGATTTCACCCATATTTCTGTACAGGCTGCAGATTCTGCAGACATAACAACTCCTGGTTTCAATTGCAAGTCATTTTTATTTATGGCACATGCGTGTTCAACTGCGATCGGTTTACCCCAACAAGTGAAACTAATACCTCATTTCTGTCTTCTTACTTTTAACAAGCTCCCATTTGAAATTAACACTTCTGCCTAGCATTCACATCTGTCTAGAGACAGCATCCCTTCATTCAAGCCGAGATGCTGCCACAGTATGGGGGAGTTTATGAGCAGCATCAGGAGCATGAATAATGTCCCAGAAATGAGAAATGAAACAAAGAATCCAATCAGAAAAGCAGTAAAATATATAAAATATTTAATGCTGACTGAAGACTTCTGTATGGCATTAAACAGTACAAATAAAACCAGCTAAACTGCAATATATATGAAACCAGTGTTTCTGAACACGGTATGTGTAGCAGCATCAAAAATGATTTTTCTTTTTTGTTTATTTCCAGACCAGAAAATTATGAAAACAAACAGTTGGGCAAGATACGAGAAAAAATCATGTATGCACTTTAACTCAGGAAGTTAACCTATTTTGGGGTCTGCGCTATATATATGAGAAAAGCCACCTGGTTACCTGACTACAATAGATTAAAAGGTTCAACATTACACAGAACTGTGTAACCATTTTCATGATGAATATTTCCACTACATCAATTTCATTTTGGTTTATAGATCACATATATAGATTTATATATAGACTGACTGAGTTTGGTTTAATGCCGCTTTTAGCAATATTCCAGCAACATCACGGCAGGGGACACCAGAAATGGCATGACGAGCCAACGCTTTAACCACTAGGCTACCCCACCGCCCTTTATATATAGAAAACTCACCTCCTCAAACAGAGGGGTGGTGGGGTAGCCTTGTGGTTCAAATGTTTGCTCTTCACACCGAAGACCCAGCTTCGAATCCCCACATGGGTATAATGTGTGAAGCCAGTTTCTGGTTTCCCCTGCCGTGATATTACTGGAATATTGCTGAAAGCGGCACAAAACTAAACTCACTCACTCCTCAAAAAGATTTGCATACTGATGCATTATTCACACCAACTGTTCTGGTCAAACACTGCACTAGTTGAAACACAAGACTTTGTTATCGTCTTGATAATACAGTTTATTATTTCTGCATCATGTTACAATAAATACCCTTGACTCATTCACAATCATACTTTTCTTTTGGGAGTGACTTTACTGTTACCAACTCTGTGTCTCAAACTTTTCTCAAAATTATTGCACTCTTTGGCTTTTTTAAACAGCCATGTAATCAGGGATTTACGGGACGCAAATTTCTGCGCATAAAAATTAACAATGGACGCAAGGAAATTTATTAGCGCATCCACAGGGGCACGGAAAAAGTTCAAATACTTTTTGTAAAACTTCCAATCAAGTAACAATAAGTTATCACTGAGTTTGCTACTTATTAGCTGAATTATGGTATCATTTGCAATTTGATTACTGCAACAATTAATGTGATGATCATGATACACAATACAATAACAGTATCAATAAAATATTTAAGTGTCTGGGACCCCCATTTTGTTGTCCAGGACCCCTGAAAATAAAGAGTATGAGTCCAAAGGACCCTCAAATACAGAACTCAAGGTAAATCTCTGATGTAATATTAATGATCGTTTTAGTGTTTCCATTAAAACAGCGCTTAATTGGTGAATGAATTCAGAGTATTTGTCACTATAGAATGCAGATATACTACACTTGACTACTAAAGATGGTATTCTTTTTATGGAGAAATGTGGTTACAGATAATATGTCAGTCCAATATCCACATCATGAGTGAGTGAGTTGAGTTTTACGCCGCACTCAGCAATATTACAGCTATATGGCGGCGGTCTGTAAATAATCAAGTCTGGACCAGACAATCCAGTGATCAACGGCATGAGCATCAATCTGCGCAATTGGGAACCGATGACATGTGTCAACCAAGTCAGCGAGCCTGACCACCCGATCCCGTTAGTCGCCTCTTACGACAAGCAAAGTCGCCTTTTATGGCAAGCATGGGTTGCTGAAGACCAATTCTACCCCGGATCTTCACGGGTCTCCACATCATGGTTTACTGGAACCTTAATATGCAAATATATTCAAATTACCAATTTGACACAATAACATGACAGTCATGCATGGTATTTGATTTCTATTGAATGCAACAACCAGTTAGCATAACTGGCCAATTATGGGATAAAGGTACATTCAGCAGATCCTGTCATGGCTAAGGCATGTAACTCTTGATGATCAATGTAAACTGCAGAAAAGCATCATAATGACTGTGAGTGAGTATGGTTTTACTCCACTCTCACGGCAGGGGACACCAGAAAATTATAACCTAAAGGGCAAAACCTTTTACCCAAACATTTTTCATATTCGTCTCATGATTCAGCTTCTGTCAACAGTATGGAAAATATCATCAGTAATGCATTTGACATTTGCTCCCAAGACAAACCTGAATCTGACTTTTAAACCTGATATTTATTTCAGAAAATTTCAAAATTTAATTTCAAAATTGATACGAGTACAAAGGTTTTGAAATACTAGTTCAAATGGTCTGAAATATATAGGGCGGGTGTGCAAAGGCATTTAGAATTGATAATAAGAATATTTCCCATCCAACAATGACTGAGCCAACAGGAGTCAACCTACATCATGTATTTCCAGGGACCCGTGAATGTCCGGGTTAGAATAATGATCTTCAGTAACCCATGCTTGTCGTAAGAGGCGACTAACGGGATGGGGTGGTCAGGCTCGCTGACTTGGTTGACACATGTCATCGGTTCCCAATTGCGCAGATCAATGCTCATGCTATTGATCACTTGATTGTCTGGTCCAGACTCGATTATTGACAGACCGTCGCCATATAGCTGGAATATTGCTACGACATGGGCACAATATGTGAAGCCCATTTCTGGTGTCCCCTGCCGTGATATTGCTGGAATATTGCTAAAAGCAGCGTAAAACCATGTTCACTCAGTCACTCCTATTGCTACGATGACACCCAATCCACAAAGTCACCATCTGACCATTTAGTCACCTTGTACCACAAGCATATATTCCTGGCGACCTTTCATAACCTGGAATATGTCCTTTTGTACAAATAAGATGATACATTAAAAATATCAATCATATATGATTTCATCTTCCCACATGGGGAATCATTCGATGTATGAAGGTACAATTAACTTTTGGTTTTGAGCATATAAGAAATATACAAATGCATGGAAACATGCCACAGTGCTTTAATCCACTCATAAAACATTGCTATACCCCTGGGGCGAGCTGAACTGTGGGTCAGGCATCAAATTCCTGTTCAGCATTAGCGTAGATTACATAACTAATGACAGACAGTGTGTCGTGACTGATTGTGTTTGAACAGGTATCCCATGATGCACTGGGGTAATTTTACAGACATGTTCGCAGCTTAATGGTCGTATCATGAAGAGCGGAGTTATGTAACAGCATTATTGGAGAAGATGTGTCACAGTTTTAAAATATGTTCACTCAGGACTACACTTGTCAGGAACAACATTGAGTGATAATGGATTAATGGACCGGGAATTCATTCAGTGACCTGTTATCGCCATTCCTAACATCTTTACAACCGCACCCTCACCTCCATTCCAACCCATTCTCAACCAGAACCATCCTCCAAATGCCAATCCTCATTTCCTCCAAATGCCACTCCAGAACTCTCATCCTCAACCAGAACCATCCTCCAAATGCCAACTCCTCCAAATGCTCATCCTCAACCAGAACCATCCTCCAAATGCCAACTCTCATCCTCAACCAGAACCATCCTCCAAATGCCTCCAGAACCATCCTCCAAATGCCAACTCCTCATCCTCAGAACCATCCTCATCCTCAAATGCCAAAATGCTCTCATCCTCAACCAGAACCATCCTCCAAATGCCAACTCATCCTCAACCAGAACCATCCTCCAAATGCCAACTCTCATCCTCAACCAGAACCATCCTCCAAATGCCAACTCTCATCCTCAACCAGAACCATCCATCCTAGTGCCAACTCTCATCCTCAACCAGAACCATCCTCTTAGTGCCAACTCTCATCCTCAACCAGAACCATCCTCCAAATGCCCACTCCCATCCTCAACCAGAACCATCCTCCAAGTGCCAACGCTCATCCTCAAACGAAACCATCCTCCAAATGCCAACTCTCATCCTCAACCAGAACCATCCTCCAAATGCCAACTCTCATCCTCAACCAGAACCATCCTCCAAATGCCAACTCTCATCCTCAACCAGAACCATCCTCCAAGTGCCAACTCTCATCCTCAACCAGAACCATCCTCCAAATGCCAACTCATCCTCATCCTCCTCAACCAGAACCATCCTCCAAATGCCATCCTCCTCAACCAGAACCATCCTCCAAATGCCAACTCTCATCTCAACCAGAACCATCCTCAAATGCCAACTCTCATCCTCACCAGAACCATCCATCCTCAAATGCCAACTCCCATCCTCAACCAGAACCATCCTCCAAATGCCCACTCCCATCCTCAACCAGAACCATCCTCCAAGTGCCAACTCTCATCCTCAAACGAAACCATCCTCCAAATGCCAACTCTCATCCTCAAGAACCAGAACCATCCTCCAAATGCCAACTCTCATCCTCAAGAACCATCCTCCAAATGCCCAGCTCCATCCTCCCATCCTCAAATGCCAGCTCTCATCCTCAGCCAGAACCATCCTCCAAATGCCCAGCTCTCATCCTCAACCAGAACCATCCTCCAAATGCCAGCTCAACCAGAACCATCCTCCATCCTCAACCAGAACCATCCTCCAGTGCCAACTCTCATCCTCAACCAGAACCATCCTCCAAATGCCAACTCCCATCCTCAACCAGAACCATCCTCCAAATGCCAACTCTCATCCTCAACCAGAACCATCCTCCAAATGCCCACTCCCATCCTCAACCAGAACCATCCTCCAAATGCCAACTCTCATCCTCAACCAGAACCATCCTCCAAATGCCAACTCCCATCCTCAACCAGAACCATCCTCCAAATGCCTCCCACTCCCATCCTCAACCAGAACCATCCTCCAAATGCCCATCCTCAACCAGAACCATCCTCCAAATGCCCATCCTCACCAAATGCCCACTCCCATCCTCAACCAGAACCATCCTCCAAATGCCAACTCTCATCCTCAACCAGAACCATCCTCCAAATGCCAACTCCCATCCTCAACCAGAACCATCCTCCAAATGCCAACTCCCATCCTCAACCAGAACCACCCTTCAAATGTCAACTCTCATCCTCAACCAGAACCATCTCCAAGAGCCCATTTCCACCCCAATTCTTCTCCATCGAAAGACACCCAATGTTAGACGTGACATGACATCCTGTTTAAATATTACTTGGGTTACACACCAGCTCACCTACAGTTAAATATAATTAAAAGCCTTTTCTTCTTCAACACTGTTTGCTAATGCCAGAAAAAAAATCAACTTTTGTAGTGGGGTTAAATTTTCCTGAGTTCTTTTTCTTGAAAATGCTTGAAAACAACACAGAAAATAAGTTTGATCACAGAATGTCCAGACAAGAATTCCTACTGTGTCAGAATGCTGAGATCCCTTGCAGTGCCCAACGGCGCTGGGTCATAGGGATTGGCTCAATGAAGACTGAAATATAAGAGACAACTGAACAAGTGTCCTACCATCATGGCTTGAATTGAACAACTGAAATTAAGCACTGTCTCTCCTAAACACCTCTTATTTTTTCTTTCCATCTTCCTTCATTCAAAAGAAACTTCTCGCATTAAAATATCTGCCATCATTTTCATCGCAGCCATAATGCATCATCACTGTATCTCATGCATAAAACAACATGCAATCACTCACCCTGCTACTCTCTCTATTAATTTTACCCTTTTTTATCTTCCATCACTCAGTCCTCACTTAGACCCATGGGCCTCATGTTTTATTTACACAGTAAGGCACCTACACTCACATCCTCCTGACACTGTTATTCACATTTACAGACACACCAAACATTTGCATTAGAAATCTTGTATTCACAAAGAACACATCTTGACTGTCAAAGCAAATCTATTCACAAATACTGAGTAAGTGAGTGAGTGATTATTGCATAACACTCATCAGGAATCTTGAACCTATTTCAAGCCATACAAATATTGGAAGTACACCTGGTACAGCAAAGCAATCATATTAAACAAACATTCGACAGATACTTTCCGCCAACCCGAAATATCTCCCCTCTAACCAAGCAATCACTCCAGCCACCCCCAGACACCATAATCCTCCTTTAAACAAAAAAGTTAATGCCACCGTTTATCGATCAACTTTAATAAACATGTTTTAGGGGAAAAAATTAAATAAATTGATATGAAGATGAATAAAATCAATTTCAGGCTTTGAAAAAAGCTGACATGGAAACAAATTGTTCAACAAGTGTAAATGAAGGATTGGGCAGCAATGGTTCGGACAAAACTATTTCCATACGGAAATGAAGAACCTGTCACAACAAAGACGAAAATGGGAACACTTCCCTTCAAATTGATTTTAACAGCTGAGAAAATCCGGGGCAAATTAGGTCAATAATTTGGTGCTGTATCTGTTTCTTGTATTCTGCCATAATGAAACATGCTGAGAACTCAGCTTCATGCTGAGCGTCTCACAACTTTTGTAATGAGGTCAGCGGAGGGTGCATTTAAAAGTGAGAATATTTGTAATACATTTTTGCCATAACATTATGGACAGAAATCTAACTGAAATTTACCGAAAATTACAAAGCAAAATTTATTTTTATAATTTTTAACTTTTAGTTTTAATTTAAACTGCAGCTGATTCCAAGCCAGGAATTAACAAGCTATTCTGAATGAGTGAGTAAACGTTGCTGTAAGCCACAAGAGCAATATTAGCCATTTTGAGTGTGCAATTTACAAGTAGGAGCAACTATGGTTCATCATGCAAAAGTACAGAGAAAATATTTGTCAACCATGGCTTCAGTCAGAGAAATGACATGAATCTGTTTCCTGGATCTAAAATGATGTCGTTCATTAATTCTACTTCTGGAACAGACAGATTCAAATGATTTCTCCATTACATATTCAAATTTATGTCAACTGATGCTGTGAAATAAAATCCCCACTCAAATATTCTCAATCTGTTGCAGCAGACGGACAACTCACAACTATAATCCCTCACATGGGTACAGCCCTGAATCATTGGATTGTGCATGTGGACAGCTGAGTAATTCAGCTAGCAGCCCTGTATTCCCTGAGAGTAATGTTGATATAAAGTAAATACACTCATGTCGACATAATCCTTCAGGAATTGACACATAAAACTGCAAAATGTCAGATCCATGCAGAATGGAAGGTTTGGGAATGGATGTTCACAATTCGTTGGGGGTCGGGGGTGGGGGTGGGGTGGTGAATTGAAATGTTACTTTTCAGAAATATCCAAATATGGTCAGAACTCTTCACCTGATAATGGCATGGAAACACCAAGAGAGTTTGTCATTGTGTCAGTGATTCAAACACATTTCAGAAAGCAATCTTGGTGATACAACAATGATGACGACGATGATGATGATGATGATGATGATGATGGTGTGGACTCAGGGATTCGAACCCAGGAAGAGCTAATACCTTGGCCCCATTCCAGAAAGCAATCTTGGTGATATAACAATGATGATGATGATGATGGTGTGGAAACAACAACAGTGTTCATCATGGACTCAGGGATTCGAACCCAGGAAGAGCTAATACTTTGGCCCCATTCCAGAAAGCAATCTTGGTCCAACAATCATATGGAAGTACGGGGTATGGGAGTAACAGTTATCTCAGCCTCAGCTTTGTGGAATGGAGCAATGAACCAGAGATTTACAAATTATCAGTTTTCATTGAAAATATTTGTCTGAGAACTTCTCATTACAACAGAGACAGTAACATGCCTCTTATAAAGAGGTGATCTAGTGTGTTTTGGGGTGATAAGATTAGTTTGTTGTAAAACGCTGCACTCAGTCACATTCCAACTACGTGACAGCAGTCAGTAAATAATTGGTACCAGACAACCCAGGATTTCAATCCAAGCAATCCATTTGGGATATGATGACATGCGTCAACCAAGTCAGCAAGCCTTACCACCCAATCCTTTAAGTCACCTCTTATAATATTCCAGCTATATGGCGGCGGTCTGTAAATAATCGAGTCTGGACCAGACAATCCAGTGATAAACAGCATGAGCATCGATCTTCGCAATTGGGAACTGATGATATGTGTCAACCAAGTCAGCAAGCTTGACCACCCGATCCTTTTAGTCATTTCTTACGACAAGCATGGGTTACTGAAGACAAATTCTAACCCGTATAAGAATATACACTGTAGGCAACTTCACCAAACCCAGAAACAGGAGTACCTCTTTTCCATACACTGTCATTCAGAAATATTTCAACCATCAAAAAAGGTTTTCTCATTTCTTATACGAAGGTGCGGCTAAATAGGTTTTTCTGGAATATGTTTTAAATAATTATCGACAGGTCGTAATGAATGCTTTGTGGATCGGAAGTGAGTGAATGGGTTTACGCAACTTTTATCAATATTCCAGCAATATCACTGTGGAGGACACCAGAAAGGAGGCTTCACACATTGTACCCATGTGGGGAATTGAACCCAGGTCTTCTGCGTGAAGAGGCAACGCTTTAAGCACTAGGCTACCCCACCGCCTCATGTGGATCAGGACAGTGAGAAGTCAATCTGACAGTCACAACAGACAATTTAGTTCCAGCTGACACTTCTTTATCTCTCCCATTGATCTGAACCAAGAATGACTTGTGCCCAAGAATTGAACTGTGGACTATTATCCCATTAATTTGTCTGCCAATTGTTCCCAGTGGTCAATTTTGACCCAATCACCAGTAGAGAAGGGTGAGTCCATGTTTGTCCAAAACTGAAAGTAGTGAATGAGTGAGTATGTTTTTGGAGTGAGTGAGTTTAGTTTTATGATGCTTTTAGCAATATTCCAGCAAAATTATGGCAGGGGACACCAGAAATGGGCTTCATGTGTTGTACCTATGTGGGTAATCAAACCCGGGTCTTCAGCGTGACGAGCAAACACTTTAACCACTAGGCTACCCCATGGCCCCCTGAAAGTAGAATACAATGATGGATAGCAGGAGCAACAATTGACACTGACAACCAAAATACTCAATCTAGTCAGAGTCAGCAATCAGCAATATTCTGGATGAGATCCCCGTTTGTTGATCCCAACATTTTCCTACAGATCTCCACTGACCAAGGATCCTTATCTCTAATGACCAGGGGCTGACGTAGGAATTATTGTCACCCAGAATCCCATGGGGATGAAACAGTAGCATCCATCAGTCTACATATGCGATCCCGTCTCTAAACATGCCATCAACAGATTCCAAATCACACAAATGTCAATTGCAATTAGGCTCCAGGAGAGAGGGCAAAGGGTCAACAAATGAGATCACACTGAAAATGCAAGCACTGAGATTCACAAGTTAGAAACCTGACCATATGATCACTGACTTTACATTAATATAATTTATGCATTAAGTCTTTGTCATCACAGAATTATTAATAACATACCGGTAAATCATATATCTTATTGGAACTGATAATGTTACTTGAATAAAAATTGGAATTTAAATTAACAGGTCGAATTATTCATTTTCCCATCCGTAAGACTTCATTTATGGATTGAATCTTTCTGATAGATATTTGTGATAGTGTTTGTGATGTAAGCACAGAGAGAGGATTTCACTCAGTTGGGGTGAATAACATGGGATCATGAGAATAACTTTAACATTTGTCACTTGGACATTCATCACTTTAACGTCTGTCACCTAAATGTTTGTCACTTGGACATTTAAGTCACTTTAACATTTGTCACTTGAACATTTATGTCACTTGGAGATTTCTCATATGAGCATTTGTCACTTGAACATTCATGTCACTTTAGCATTTGTCACTTGAACATTCATGTCACTTTAGCATTTGTCACTTGAACATTCATGTCACTTTAACATTTGTCACTTGGACATTTACATCTTTTGAACAGTATCTAACTCAGATAATTAGATGATCAGCAAATTAAATAATAAAATCAGTTGTATTAAAAACTGAAAAAAAACCCAGGTATCAATGGGACAAACCTAGGATTCAACCCCTGCTCAGCAGATCCTGACACAATGAAGGGAGAGTGAAAGATATATTGCATATGTTTTTACACTGCCTTTCTACCAATATCATAGCAATATCACAGTGGCAAGCACCAGAAAGTCTAAACACATCACACCCACACCCACATTCAGTAGTGTAACAACTATGTGATGGCAACATGTAAATAA